TTCTTAACTGTCTTTCCAAACAGAAAGACCATTTCCTGTTATCTGGAGTCATCAAGAGGAAACACACTGTTTTGTGATATGGATGTATTATGGGAAGTAGGGCAAAAGAGACTAACCCTTAAAATCTGTTTTCTATAAAACATCCCTTTTGTAAGTTTGCTTTTTATCAGTTGTATCTTGCTCGAAAGATGAGAAGCATGACATTGCATTAATCTACAATAATTTATTGAATGAAAGGTTGAAGAAGGCATCTCCCAAATGAATTCACTGGTCTCCATCATGTATCACTTCAAACTTTAGCTTCTGCTTTGTCATTGCTACTTAAGTGTTTCCAGATTTAAAAGAAATTTTCAGATATAATGTTTAATTTCTACCTTTCTAATACAACAAACCAGCATCTCCTTGGAAATTTTAATGTGCTTTTCTAGTTCACTTCTACAACTTGTTGGTTAGATATGATTTCAAAAATTTGTGTTGTATTGTTTTGGGGTTGGCTTGTTTCAGAACCATTAAGAGGGCTCTTCTATGAACATTAAACAAAGCTACAATGTTCTCCAAACTCTTCTTAAAGACTTTCAACAGAATTCGAAGTATCTATTAAACATTTTTTTCTTTCACCATTTTATTTCTCATCTTTCTTTGACTTTAAGTTATCCTGTTTTTGTGTGTATTTATTGCAGGCCTCTTAACATCTTAGAATTAGATGATCCCTTTCAAATAAAACAGAGTAACTGCATGCTTACTACTATAATGAAGAAGCTCTGCATAGTAAACCCATGGGAATTTGGCTTTTTAATAAAGTTTTTTTTTTTTTTTTAAAGAAAATGATTAACATTGTAAATAGTACTGTATCATAGACTTGGAATCAGCGATGTAAACTGAATGGTGGAAAGACTATAAAATATTTTGGTCAATGAATTTTGCTTCTACAGGGTAAGCTCGGCAATTGTCTTGCTATAAAACATGTTCGTCTGCTCTCTAGATACCAAATAGAAGTAGACACAGTATGGAAAACTGTCTTTGTCCACATATATTAGAAAGTACTCTTCTAAGAAGGTGGAATTTATGTGGAATCTTTGAAAGTTTCAATAAGTACATATATATTTTTACTAATAGAAGTTTTACTTTCTGGGAGCCAACCCCATTACTATGTGACAAAAGTGAATATGGTCTTACTTTGCTTAAACCTGGGCAAAACTGACCTGCTATTACTCATCTTTCATTGCCTGGACTATTGTGTGAGTTTAAACCT